GTTTCAATATAACTATTCCAAATTACAAAAACATATAAATAAGTATTTATATTTGTGTACAACAAGCTGTTTAGATTGTCAAAAAGCCTGTGTTTTTAGGGTTATTAACAAAGTTCGTGTACTCAGACCAGTAATATTTGGGGTCACAAGTTTTTGCCATGAATATTTTGTGGGTCAGAAGATAAAAAGTTTGGGTCCAGCTCCTCTGAGGAGGAAACTCGTTCAACAGTTTGTTATCTGAGGGCAGATAACAAACCCAGAGTGCACAGTGCTGCAGTAGCTGCACCCATCCATCAGCTGCTCCCTGTTCAAACCAGGACCAACACGACTGAGCTCAGCGTCAGCAGGGACACATGAAGCACTGTTACTTTCACTGCAGCACATTTCACAGTCAAATACAGGCAGGAAGCTGCTGCAGGAAGATCAAAGCTGCTGGTTTACATTCGATTATCGGCTCGGGGGGGGATTTGCATGTCAGAAATGACACGACGTGCACCAGAGGATCATGTCGGTTATCTTTAGCTCTCATCAGGATGTGTGGATCAGGTAGCTCCATCTTTTCCAGTCAATCAAACAAAATACAAACGTCACAGTTCTTATTAAAGAGTGCAGCGATGAGACGAAACGCTGAATTATTTTATGAAAAGACATGAGATGAAGCAGGAGGACAGCCAGCGGGTGGGAGGAGGTCATGAAGTGACGATGAAGACGTGCGAATCCAGAGAATTCATTTTGATCCGATGCTGCAGTGATCAGGTTTATAAACTAAAACCAACAAACTGTGAGGTTAAACTTATATCATCTTCAGATTTTACTGTCCTGCTGTGGGCTCAGTGTGAGTGCTGTCAGTAATTAATGCAGAAACCTCCACAGGGAGAACTCATGGTAATAAAGCAGAGTTTATTTGCAAACAGGCACCATAAAATAAAAGAATATCAGGTTTTATCCGAAGGAACACAAATTAAAAGCTTTAATCTGCAGAGATGAACAAACTGTGACTCAGCTTTGAGAATAAATCATAAACGTTAATAAGTTACAAAAGCTGTTACGTCATAATATCCAGTTTTAGAACTAGAGAAGCTGTATTTAAGGCTGGTGTGGATGCTTGTTGCTGCTGAAAACGAGCTGTAAAGGTTTTAGAGCAAAACTGTTGATGACAGTTCAATTTGAAAAGTTGAAAGAAACACAAAAAGGAAGAAACTAGAAGAAAAGCAGAATTATAGCTGAAATAGCAGGAAAAAAAAGCTAAAATCAACATAAAACAAGCTAAAGGTAGCAGACACAAGTTGAAATTAGGTGTTGACCCAGATGGTGAAAGTGTTGTAAAAAAAATTAACAGAAGCAGAAAAAAGAAAAAAGTGCAAGAAAGTGACCATTTGTTGTGAAAAAAGCTAAAACGCAGCTGAACTACGGATCAGATCCAGATTTTTTGTCCCGATACAATCTGATTTTTTTTAATGATTAGTCTCTCATACGATCCCATAGCTTTATTTCTTTATTTCTTTCCAAGTGACAAGGTTATTAAAGCGAGCCCTGCTGTTCCCACCACCAGAAACATCCAGTTTGCAGATTTTGCAAGATGCAGTTTCAGCATCAGTAGCTGTGTTTCCATTTCAAATGTGCTCAAAACTTTGTCGATATTCTGTTAATGTAAAAAAAACACAGTTTCACAACTGCAGTGTTTCCATTAAGTAAGAAATGCTATTAAAGTC